TGTGTTTTCTTTTTTAAAAAGGTTAAATTTGCAGAGTTTAGAGGCATAATGTGTCAGGTTTGAGTTCTTCTACACTGGATGATCTGACAGGAAGAAATATAAAGCAACCAACTTACTTAAAAAACTATTACCTGCAGGGCTTTTAATCCATCTAAATTGTTTTGGTGTGAGTTGATGAGTTTTGGAGAAATGTAGAGATGTTTGTCATCTCTCCAGAACTCATGACCCGGATACTCAAGATAATCCACAGAGCTTGTTGTGAGCAGTTTCACGAAGGAACGTTTTTTCTTTTTCTTTCTACCAAACTACACCCACCAACCGTATCAGCACGGAGAAGGAACTGGCATACACTCATGCGCTCACATCGCCATTAATGTTTACAGCACATCCTTTAGCCCATGAGTAGATGCACGCTTTGTTCTGCGCAGGGACACGTAGAAAGAAAATAGTACACTAAACTGCTCACAACAAGATCTGTGGATTCACCGGGTCATGATTTCTGGAAAGAGAGATTGCTGTTGAAATGTTTTTTGGCGCTTTGATCCAACTAGTTCCATTACAATCGAGAGAAGACAGACATCTCTATGGCCAGTATCTCCAGAACTCAGCAACCCACACCAAAACAATCCAGATGGATAAATCACACTGCAAGTACGAGGAAAAATGTGTACTTTTTAATTTTGGGTGAACTGTCCCTTTAACAATTAATAGAAAATATGTATCTCTCTCTTGTTCTTATTATGTTATCACTATCCCCTAGCATAGCAGATGGAAATCCAACATAAAGCATAAAAATACACTGATCAACACAGAGTTATGATACATACAGTTAAAAGAGGACCTGAGGATGTTGTTTCCTTTAAAGCGGGCATCTTGCCGAGCTCTGGCCACACAGTGGGAACAGCTCTGAAAAAGAGAAGCCGTGTTGTGCTCCTGCAAATGTGATTGAATTGACCACTCGAGGTAGTTTGAAGGTATTGATTAATAGATTGACAGAAGGATTGACTGTTATTTAACACTGGATGTATGGACAAACTGGCTGTCCTCGCCTTCTCCTCCTGTGTGTCTTAACCTCCTACTCGCGTGTGTGTTTTGCCAAGCTTTAGAAAAATATTCCAATCTGCGGAGACCTAAATTTCATTTTAACACCTCACTCCCTTTCTCCCACACATATTTTAAATGAACTCCCTGGTTTCGGAGAAGTCACAGCTATCATTTCTGTCTGGTTTTTAACTGGTTTTTCAGCTGCGCTTCATGTTTCTTGTGCCGTTGTGCCACAGTGAAATTATACAAATATGTTAACAGTAATTTGTGTAGAGTAACGTTCTAGTGCAACACCTTGACTCATTCAGACTTTGAAATCATGTGCTTTCACCAGTGTCAGAGTATTTTCTGAAAAGAAATCTGAATGTTTTTATGTAGTATGTTTTTAACTCTACCGTGTTTTTTGTGTCCCCTTGTTGTATTTTCTTCCTTTTGTTTGGTGGCATTTCTAGTTAATTTTTTTGTTGATTATTTCTAATGTATTTACTGACTGTGAAGCACTTTGTAACTTGCTTTTGAAAAGTGCAGTACAAACAAAGATTATTATTCTCAGAGGTATTTTGTCATTGTGAGTCTAAATGTCAAATCTGTACTGGTGTAATTGGCCTAAAGTCGCCCCTCCCGCAATGAAATCTCATCTCTTTTCCACATATGGTACATTGTTATTAGATTACAGTTCCCATGACTTCCTCATTGTCTCCTGCAAAATGTATAGCAAAATGCTGGATGAAATCAGCAAGGAGGCTGCTCGTTTTCCTATGAAGAACGATTTGTCATGACCGGAGTAAAGACAGTAAACTGGTGAGTTCTGACTTTATGCATTTTGGCCAAAATAAATAAAAGATCCTGGTAACTCATCCTTGTTTTAAATGTGAGCTACACACAGAACGTTTCCTGTAATGACTTCCAGCTAGCAGTGTCCTTCTGGAGTAGAGCCTAGAAAAGGCTCAGCTTGAAAGGCTTAATGCTACATTCATGCTGTGTTGGGTTTACTATAGATGTGACTGGGTATAAGGATCAGTTAATGCTCAAAACGAAGTAGTTCATACGACGTAGCAGACAACATTGGAAGTGTTTATAGCTGTCCTGAACGGCCAGAATCGAAGGCGGGTCAAAGCCGGCTGTCAAGGAGATGATGGAAACGGGATATTGTTTTAATAGGAGGTAATTGAGCACATTTTCCGACTGTCGCTCCTTCATAATGTTGCACTGTGTTGAAAAGTGACAGAAATAGTTGCGTCAAGAATGAAAAAGGAGACAAATCAAAATCACGGCTCTCACCTCCACACAGCTGGCCAATCGTGGCGTGAAGCGGGTGTGAATGTAGAATTGTCGTTTTCAGAGAGTTACAGGCAATTTGAGGGGGAGAAGGAGAAGATCACAGAGACACACATTCGTACGATCATTTGTATTCTATCAGATTTCCATGATCATTCAGTAGCATCTGTGCTGCTGA